ATACACTAAGGACGCCAAAGGAGACATAGAAGAAGCTACACAAATTCAGGAAGGAGATAATAATGGTACTGTATGGTCCCAAAATTCCAGAAGATCTTCTTGCTATATAATATGTGGACTATCACAAGTACCAAGTAGTACAAATTTTCATTTGTCTTTTGACTTAATGGGTTTTTTTTTATGTTATATATAGAGTTTAAATACTTTTATTATAAGCCGGGCATGGTGGCGCACGCCTGTAATCCCAGCACTCGGGAGACTGAGGCAGGAGGATCGTTTAGAGTTCGAGACCAGCCTGGGCTACAAAGTGAGCTCAAGGCCAGCCTGAACTGCACAGCGAGACCCTGTCTCAACAAGATAAAAATATATATATATATTTTTATTATATTAATCTATCACTCTTTGTTTATGGCTTTTTGGTTCTGTAACATATTTAGAGCTTTTCCAGTAAGAGATTATTTTCAAGTGAGTATGGGGAAACTATAAATGTCTGTGTAAGAAGCAGTTGCTTCTTCTTTCACTCATAAAATCTGCCTGGTCCTCTCCATTTCATCAGAATATAGGACAGATTACTCTAGGATTCTAGAATCCACACACAGAAGAGAGCAGGCATATGTACTGAAAACAGGAGAACTAAGTGTTAGTCTTCTACGTATCAAACAGTGAGACCTTTGGCTTCCTTCTCCAAGAGGTCTCAGAAACACTGAGCTTATACCTTTCCTGGTAGATGACAAGAGGGATTATTCTCTGGAGAAAATGACCAACCCCAGGAAACAAAACTAGTTTCTCAGTCTGGAATCCTCCCTGGAAAGAACTTTGCAGGATTATCTAACAATAAGTGTAGCTTGGAGTATAGCCCCACCCATGCACATAAAAGGTTCCAGTCAGCTTTTCAGTGCTGTACTCTTAAATACAAACCAAGAGTCAAAGATCACCAAATCTATGGAAAAGCTTCTAGTGTCTAAATCAAAGAAAAATTTAGAAGACCTTAAAGAAACAGGACCCAAAGGAGAAAAGTTAAAAAGAAATCATGACTCAAGGCTTTTATGGGTAAATAGAGGCAACTAGAGACCATACTCATAAGTGAAATAAATCGGACCCACATGTGTAAACATTGTATTGTCTCCCTAGGGTAAGAACCTGAAAGAGTAAATAAAACCCAAAAGGTACAACAAACACTGTGAAAGGGAAAGAAACTGCTCAAAGGGAAGGAACAACTGGATGAGGGAAAGAAGAAAAAGAAGAAAGAGAAAAAATATATAGAGAGAAGGAAAGCTGGGGTAATTATACTGCTGGTGTCTAACCGTTTACTGAAAGGAACAGTGAATGCTTAAATTTTTTTTGACCGATTTTCACGCTTATATCTGGTAATCTGAACAACTAATTTGAAGACAACAATATGCAATATAACAACCATTGGTGAATTCCTACCATCTTGTTTAGTGAAGCTCTGTATGGTTTCTAATTTTTTTTTATTTTTATTCTCTTTAATGGCTTTATCAATCTTGTATTCTTACAGCTGGTAATCTGAGCAACTTTGTTAAAGTTAACAGTATGTAATATAACAACCACTGTTAATTCCTATCATTTTATTTTGAAACCCTGTATCATTTTTATTGTTTTTGCTTTGTTTTGTTTCTGTCTATGTTGTTTTTTTACTCTCTTTAAAATAAAAAAAAGCATAATCAATACCAAAAAAGAAGACACTAGCCACAAAAGACAAGGAAATCTCAGATGAGTTAGGAAATTAAAACTGAGACAACATCCTAGAAAATAAAACAAAAAGGCAGAAATGTAAATCGAAACCAACTCAACTGAATTGGTATCCTTAAAGTCAGTACCTTAACCATATTTTGATAAACAATTTTTTGGTTAACATCTGTCTCTGCTTTTACGCTAAGTTGTAAGAGTATGGCTGGTGGCATTATTTGCTCACCACTGTTCTAACATAGCTTATGAAAGTGCTCGCATGGCTTGTAATATATATCCAATATTTATGGGCTAATGAATGAAGCAAAACGTGTTACTTTAGATGAATGCTATTTTAACTTTACTGATTACAGCTGTATAAGAACTTTCCAGGGGCTAGAAGCGTTGCTCAGTGGTGCAGCACTTTCCTACCATGTGCAACGCCCTGGGACTGTCAGTACTGCAAGAAACAAAAAAAACCTTTTTTCTCTGTGTAAGGTTAAAAAACATTACAACAAAAGCAATTTAAAAGACAAAATTGAAGGTAAGAATAAAATTAAAGGTACTTAAAACTTTGCTCCTTAAAAATGTCCAAATCTGCTTTACAAAACACTATTTGGCTCTATAACCTAAGGCCTGAAAAGGAAAAACAAATTTACAAAGCCTGTTTCAAAAGCAGCAGCAGGATACAAAAAAACCTGTTCAAATAAGCAGAAGTGACTCACATTAATAAACCTTCCTAACCACTGAAAAACTACAGACATCACTGACAGAGGTTGTACTCACTATTTTTAACTCAGCCACTTCCGACTGGAGTCGAGGAGCAGCCCAGATCAGTGTAGACACAGATTCAGCCAGACCAGAATCTAGCTCTCTAATAAGGAAAAAAATTAATACAACATTCTGTAAAACAAGCCAATGTAATCTTAGCTATTCTACACTTTTTTTCCTCTTAAGTTATTTTGTAACTCACTGGATTCTCAAGATAATGCTAGACCTATAAGCCATTTCTTTATCCTATTTTAATTTTGAGAAAACTCAAAACTAAGAAATCCAATAGTCAGGAAATAGCTAAGCCAAGACTCAAACTAGGCCTCTTGATTTCAGATTATTTTCTTTTTAACAGATTCCTACATTGAGAACACACCTTCAAATGACTGTTTAGAAAAAGATATTTGGGGATGACAAATAGTCCCTTTGTGCTACTCCCCTACATGTACATGGAAAAAAGAGACCAATCTTACTCCATTCTCAAATTCCACAAGTGATTCAAGTCTCTGAACCAAAATATCTTACTTCATAGACTGAATGAGGCCAAACCGAGCCAGCAGGAGGTCGCAGTACAGCTCCAGGATCTCCATGGCCTCCACAAGGTAGTCTTCGCGGATAATGTGCTCCACTCGGATCCGTGCTCGCTCATCCTTCCCAGCGGCCAGATAATCAGCAATCTCCTTCCTTGCTTTCTGAGCCAGTTCCGCTAAAGCAAGAATCCCACTCTAGTCACACAAGAGCAGGGTACTGGGACCTGGCTTCTGAGTAGACCTCTACCCCAACAGAGAGAACTGAGTATTTCTACTATATCTTAAACTCAGTGAGGGTGAACCTCTTAAGAGTTTTCAATGATACAGTCCACTGTACCACATGTGCCACAGGTTTGCCACCACTATCCTACCTCATACTGCCTTAGCTAATCTATTTCCATTTCATCCATTCCCAACTCAATTATTCTGGCCATGGCAGCAGTAGTTGCTACTCTGTGTGACAATATAGTATTTAGCCTGACATTTCAAACTCAGGAGTCATATTACTATTCTATAGCAACAAGTACAGTTATCCCTAGGTATCCAAAAGGGATTGGTTCCTGGACACCCCACAAACACCAAAATCCAAGGATGCTCAAGCCCCTTCTATAAAATGTCACCGTATTTGCATATAGCCTATGTATATCCTGTGTACTTTAAATCATCTCTAGGTTATTTATAACCATTAGTAGAATGTATAAATGTGTTATAATGCATTATTTAGGAATAACAGCAAGAAAAAAATCTGTACATATCACAAATGTAATTTTTACCTAAATATTTCTGAACCGTAAATGGCTGAATCTAGATGTAGAACCAATGAGTGTGTAAGGTCCACACAATGTTCCTTTCTCAACAAAAAGCAATCAGTCTAACTAGTCAAAAAAAGGCAGAAATGTATCCAAAGTTCAAAAAGACAGGATGGTCCTGAAACTTCACAGTACTGGTCCAGAAGACTCAGAACAGGGTACTGGCATATGGTGATACATTTTGGGAAAGAAACGATAAAGGAATTATGCACTACTCACTTTTTTTTTTCTCCAGTAATTTGAGGCGGTTTATGACTAATCTCAAGTTGACTCGTAAACGCTCAGCTTTAAATCCAGAGCCCAGCATACTGTGCTGTTCCTCCTGGGAAAAAAAAAAAAAAGTGTAGTGACTGCTTGGAGTCAAAATTAGCTTAAGAACTAAAACCATTTAAACCAGGTATGGTGGCACACACCTGTAATCCCAGCACTAAGGAGGCTAAGACAGGAGGATTGCTGCTACTTCAAGGCCAGCCTGGGCTACATACACGAGAACAAAACCAGTCTGCCCTACACAGCGAGACCCTGTCTCAAAAAAAACAAACCAACCCAAACCAAAACCAACCCATCTACGTAGATCTGACATTGTAAGTAGGGGTTTTGTCTTTTTTCTTTTGGTGCTGGGGCTTGAACTTAGGCTAAGCGCAAGCTCTACCATAAAGCCACACCCCCAGCTCTAGAGTGTTTTTCTAATATAGAAAAATGATATGAGCCAGATGACATTTTATTAAGTATCATTTCGGCTGCTGTGTAAAGCACTGACTGGAAACAGACAACATGAGGAACAGAAGGCTACCACTACAATCCAGGTAAGACAGGGCAATAAATTAAGACCAGGGAGTTAGCAGTGGCAGTGACAGACGCAACTGCATTTGGAATCTATTTTAAAGGCAGAGCTCAAAGAATCTGGCGCAAGATGAAAAGGCTATTTAGGTAGTGGCAGGAGGATGGGATGATAAAAAGACGGGAAAGCAGGAAGGCCTTGTGCTTCTAAAAACTCTTAGCAAGGGAGGTGACTAAAAAAAGATTATCAAGTTTAGACCCAAATTCAAAAATATTCTCATCAGCTTAATTCCTGAAAATCTGCTACTAACTATCAGCCTTTGGGAAGTGCTGGTGGCCCAGTATCACAGAAGTGTCATTAACATCTCACATGCAAAGTTAACAGTCCAAGAAAAAAGTGCTTCATAAAATTCTACAGGAGGAGACTACCAAGATTTTCAGTGAACAGCAGTTAGCCAACAAAGCCCCTGCCTCTTACACACAAGATCTTAGGCTCTACCACTATATACTGACTATTGTGAGTATCTTTTTTTGAGATAAGGTCTCATTAGGTAATGCAGGCTGGCCTTGAACTCACTTATATAGCCCAGGTTGCCCTCAAACTCATGGTGATCCTCCCACCTCAGCCTCCCGAGTGCTGAGAATACAGATGTGGCATATTCTCACACCACATTCTCTACAGTGATGTGCTGTGCACCACCACACCTGACTACAGCACAGTTTTTGTCACTTGTAATGCTGGCCTCAAAACTGAAAACACGTCATATACCTACACCTAAGTTGAGGATTTAACCCAGAGCCTTCACACTGAAATACATCATCCATCTCTCTCCTCTCCCTCCCTCCCCTCCTCTCCCTCTCGCTACCAGGTCTTGTTGAATCACTATGTTGCCCAAGCCTGGCACGAACTTGAAACTGTCCTGCCTCAGCCTCCCAGAATGTCTGGCTTACACTGTACTCCCGGCTACACAACATTTAATAAGTAACTCAAGTCCCGATTTAAAACAGGGCTTGAACATCACAGAGTATCTCTCTGACCCACTACGCTGAATACATTCAATCCAAAAAACACATTTTTATTGATTGTATGTCACACTTGGGCCAGATGCTGGAGATAAAAAGTATAAATAAGGTATAGTGTCTGTCCTCAAAAGGAACTTATATTCTACTGGAGGGAAAAACAGTTAAGAAAATTTAGCAATTATAATGCTATTTAATAAGGACTATAATTTTAGAGTTTCTCAATCAGAAATGATTTTTGTCCTCAAGGGGACTCTTGACAATGACTGGAGACATTCTGAGTTTTCATGAGTGGAGAAAATGCTCCTGGCAACGGGTATGTAGAGACCTGAGATGCTATTAAACATTCTAAGCTAGGTGTGGTGGCACACGCCTGTAATCCCAGCACTGGAAGGCTGAGGCAGGAGGCTCCTTGCAAGTTTGAGGCCAGCCTGGGCTCCAAAGTGAGCTCAAGGCCAGCCTGAACTGCACAGCGAGACCCTGTCTCAAAAGACCAAAAACAAAACAAAACAAAACAAAACATCCTATAGTAAACAGAACTGTGTGCCTATAACAAAAAATTACCCATCCCATCTAGAACTGTGGAACCTAGAGAAATGAGCCAACATGTAGAGAGGTTAGAAAAGGCTTTCTAGGAGGAGTCTGTGAAGAGCAAGTGTGAACATTCCAAGCAGAGAAAGTGGTGTGTACACATCCCAGGTACTGGAGAGAACAAGGAGCTTTGCGAAAGCTGCAAATTCAGTATAGTTGAAGCGTGGGATTAACTACTGTTTATGCCATAAGTATACCTCAAGTATACCTCTTAATCTTAACTTCAAAATTTAAACTATTATTTATAAGATGTCCATCACCACAGCAGGTTCTGCTGCTAGCTAGATGTAAAGGATAGCTCTGTTCTCAAGGTATTCATAGCCAGAGATGGATGGGAAGCAGGAAGACAAGAAGAAAAACAGTAACCATTATCAGTAACTCTACCAGGCTTCTGGCCAAGATCAGCCAGCAACAAACATTTTGACAAATTCCAGACCTACAAACCCCTAAGGAGATAATCAGAGCTTTATTAGTATTTTAATATCAAAATATTTACTACTTTTTTTTTGAGACAGGGTCTTGCTATATAAAGTTCAGGCTGGCCTCAAACTTGTAGCAATCCTCCTGTCTCAGCCTCCCAAATGCTGGGATTACTGGTGTGCACCACTATGCCTGGCCAACTATCACACTTTAGGACCAAAAAACCTGTAATAATGAAATGTATTAATCATCAACATTATCAGTTAAATAAACTGGAATTTGGTAGAACTTTACATAACCTTATAATACTTTTTAAAAACCACTTACAGACACGAGAACATTTCAAATATGTGTAAGTTTAAAAAGCAAGTTGTAAACTAGGAATGGTGGCACACTCTGTAATCCCAAACTCTGGGAGGCTGAAGCCAGAGGACTGCAAGTTTGAGCTTAGCCTGGCAACTCAGGAAGACTCTGACTCAAAATAAACACAAAAAAGGCTGCGGATGTAGTTCAATGTGAAGGCCCTGGGTTCAATCAGCCCTCAGTACTGTACCACCAAGTAACAAATCAAAACGAAGAAAACCACAGATGTATAAACAAAGTTTAGAATTTCAGCAGGTTGAAGCATGGGATTAACTACTAGGTATACTTAATCTTAACTTCAAAATTTAACTTCCAGAATTAGAATTTAAGAGGCTGTTGGGGACATAGCTCAGTGTGTAGCAGGGTGCTTGCCTACTACAATTGGGAACCCAGATGTAATTCTCAGGACCACAAAAAGAAAAAGGTTTAGCCATTCTTATATGTAAGCTCCTCTCAAATGAAAGGAATTTGGACTAAGGTTAAAGCCAACGCAAAATGCAAATCTACCTCAGAAAGTACTTAATTTTAAACTTCAGTATCGAAAGAATAAATAATAATATAAACTCATGTGCTCTTTTGGAAAAGGAAAATACTCAACAAAATGCATCAACAACTGTAAAAAGCAAAAGTTTAAAATGGTCTGTTTTCACAAAAAGGTCTTTAAGCCTAAGGATGTGACTGAGGTCCTATAGCTGAGGTGGTCTCTAAACAAAGGGGGTAAGGTAAATAATCAATTAAGCACAGAATTCACGTAAACTCTGCAAAAGCACTGTCAGTTAAGAAGTTACTATTATTGATTAATCATTTGCTTTAAAAAACCCACAGACTTTACGGAGGGAGTGGGGCAAAAGGGGTTAGCCACCTATGGAACCGACTGTAACTCAGTCCTCAGCCAATGAGGAAAGGAAGCGGACACTATTACGATTTGTACTGCTCTTTGTAACCACTCTGAGGTGTGTCAGTCTGTCTGCTGGGCTGGCTCAGCACTTCTGCAAGAGTGGGGAAAAAAGTGTAAGTTTCACTGTTCTTCCTCCCTCTAGTCTATTCTTTGGATCTGGTCAATGGTACTTCTCATACAATCAAGAGTAACTTAATTATGGCGGGGGGTGTGCAGCAGTGTGGTGGCGTATGACTGTAATCCCAGCACTTGAAAGGCTGAGGCAGGAGAACCACATTGAGTTTGAGGTCAGCCTTGGCTAAATAGGGATTTCAGGGCCAGCCTGAAGTACAGACCAAGATTTTGTTAAAAAAAAAAAAAAAAAAAAGAGGAATGCGGAGGGAACTAAGCCCTAGCAGGTTACACCTCCCTTGACAGTTCCCACCAGACCCCACCTCCCAACAGCAAGCCGCCTGTAGTGCTCACAGTGCCCATATATTTACAATCACCTTCCCTGAGTCCCACCTTTAACCATACAAGGCTTTGGGGTGCACCAGATATAAACCATGACAAAGACAAAGAAGGAAGAGACAAGTAAAAATAAAACAGCTTTAACAATATGAAGGAGCTCTGGAGGATGTGGGTATCTAGTTCACATCATTACCTAACATTCACATAATTGTTCAACATCCACCAATGCTAATTTGGGACCATATTTAGCCTAAAATAGAAAAGATTTCAGTCTTAAGAATAGAGACTCTGAAGACAAAAAAGTGCTAAAAGTCAGAAGTTCAAATGTTTTACACTGCAAACAGCAATCAAGCTCCACAGTGGTATACACCTGTAATACCAGCACTTACCAGAGGAGAAGCTAAGTTGAAGATCAGTCAGGGCTCTATATACATCAAGCTTAGTAACTGAGGTTGAAAATACTAAGAAACAACAACAACAACGACTTAAACCGTAAGTAAAATTACAAGGTAAGCAATATTTGGAGGTAAAGATGCAACGAAGATTATGTTCTAACAAAACAGCAGAGGGGCCCGGGGGTATAGCTTAATGGTAGAGAGCTCGCACCCGTTTTTAGCATGCATGATGCCCTGGCTTCAATCTCCAATCCCCATCCCCCGCAAAAAACCTGTGATAAGGAGTTAGTGAGGAAATAGGAACAATCTCAAACTCTTACTGACAATGTAAATTAGTACAACCTTGCAGAAAGGAAAATATCCTAGTTTAAATACCTATGCCAAAGAGCAGGATAAATGTGTCCA